TCCCTCCCTCCCTCCCTCCCTTTCTCCTGTATACCGGATGCTTCACTACACCTGGTGTGTATTTTGCATGTTGTGTTGCTTTCTACGCATCATTTTATAATCTACTGTACTGTATGATGTACATCTCCGTTCAGAGGTGCGGATCTCTCGGCAAAGGCTCCTGGACAGTGCCGTGTGGCCCTCGAAAGCCTTGTGCCTTGTCAGTGCCATGGAGGGCGGAGCTTTCCAAGAAGTGTAGGGCGTAGCGTTTGCTGTCATTCTCTTCTTTGTGTCAACGCTGATATTTTGCTGGCTGCAATTTCCTTTCTGTTTTCGACACGTATTAGACTCTGTGTGCAAGTCATGTTACAGGTCAAAGTCATGAATCTGTATTCTGGCGGGAACGCCTTGCCTGGGGCCAAGAGAAGGGAGCGGATCACGGAGTGGAGCGACTTTCCGACATCAGCCAGAGAGCGCTTGTGGTACGCTGTTCCCGATTCAGCAGCGGTACCAGTTATCGTTGGACGACCATGGCTGAGGTTGGAGATCGAGTATGCTGGGGAGGCTGTGCACCCGGGAGGTTTAGGTCACATCCTGTCGCGTCTCCAGCAAACACATGTCTGGACTGCGGTTTCGCAAAGACATCAAGCCACGAGATGTAGCTGCACATCCGGAAAAGCTTGTCTTAGTGACCAGTCAGCATTCAGGGATGTCGCTCTGCAGACCGTCCAAGCCCACTCACACAGTGCAAAGAACCAGCGGGCACGGCGTTAGGCATCTAGATTCTTGTGCCAGATCAAGCATCATTTTGAGCCATGTCAAAACTGACAGGGGCTTGCAAACAGCTCGTGCTTCTGGAATGTTCTATCTAGCTTTCCTAATGTGCAACTAAGCGACTAAGCGAGGACGTGCAGGTCTGCCTGTCTGCATCTTGGCTTCAGGTGGGCACCGGCTCGGGCCCGACCTTGGAGTTCTATGCTCTTGTGGCCGAGAATTTGAGGAGAGGGCTTGGGAGGGCTTGGGGCAAAGCTTGACTGGGCACGTCGATTGCTGCATTCAGGGGCTGAAGGTAGTTGAGTGTGTGTGGATGATTTAGTGATCAGTCATGCTTCTTTTGGTCGCAGGCCACTATTATCACTAGAAGTGTCAGAGGCGGTCGTGCTTCAGATTTCCGTGCTCGAGCGTGCAAGCCTAGGACTCTACAGCCGCAGCTCTTCCGAGCCAGTCCGCCTGGGGGCATGTCGCATGGCAGCAAAGTTTCCGGTTGAGTGCCTGAGACTTACAGTAGATGCGCTTCGAGGCTCTACCCGCAGCCTTACGACCCTCACTGGCTTCGCAGAGCTGACGAGCAGGCGCCATCGGCCGGCCTTTGGCACAGCCTCTTTTGTCATTGTGAAGTGCGACGAAGAGTCCCCTTGCCAGGGCTCTCAGCAGATCCTGGAGCGCTTCAGGCCAGGTGGCAAGCCGCTGCGCCGCTACACGTGGGCGCATATCGTAAACCGTTTCGGAAGCCCCGGTTTCGGTCTTGCGACAGGCTGTTGGGCCAGGTGGTGGCAAAATGTATCATCGACAATCGGCTCGTGGACATCCAGTCTGCATCTTTGCGTGTGTGTCAGTACTCCAGAAACCACCAGAAAGCCCCTTCGTCTCGCCCAGGCTGCATCCTGCATTCTGGCGGTCTGTGCTGGGTCGCTTGCCGAGCTTCCTTTGTCCGGTCCGGTTCCATAAAAGGCTTGCGATGGGCATGGGCAGATGTCTCAGGAAGTGCGCCCCTGTCGCAGCAATGGCTGCGGTCCATCGATCCGGAGGCTTGGCAGTAATGAAACGGGAGGCAGACCAGGGTGATGCAAATCGTTTCTTTTCTTGCTTGGCTGGGCCCTCGAGATGCTCGGTTACCATGCAGCAAAGTCAGCTTGGAAGATCGCTTTTCCATTCCTAAACTCCTAAACAATAGCGTTGTGTTGTATTCATTTGCTGTAAGTTCCGATCAGGACCCTTGCTTCAATCTTTGTGGCGGGACCTGCTTGCTTGGTAGCGCACGTGTGTGCTTAGGAACGATCGTAAGCGATCGGCCGCCGTGGTCGACTTCCCGCCCTCGCCTCCCTTTTCTTTTTGATTATTTGATTCGACTTCAAAGACCGACCGGCCGGCACTAGAAAAAAACCGGGCAGTTGTTTGAGGGGGGCGCAGAAGTGTGCATCCCGGAACCGGTCTACGGAGCGGTGTGCCCGGCCTGGCGCAGTTCGCACTTCGACCAAAAGGAAATGTCATTGCACATGTAGAATTTGGGTAATGCGTCGTTTGCGTAGCACTTGTTTTGAACCCAAGATGGCCAGAAGAAGCTCACCAAGATTCGGCAGACAAGACAAGTACCACGGCAAAGAGACATGACAAAACAGGGCAGGTGTGTTGACACAGCGAGTGTGACACAGGAGTGCTTAAAGCTACGACCCTGTCTGCCAGTTGCATTCTTCGCTGGAGAACATTCGCGACATGGATGCCGACAAGCTCGAGGGGCTGTGCATCGACTTCACCATGCCAGGCCCGAGAGAGGGAGAGAGAGCGAGAGAGAGGGAGGCAACTCCCCACCACAGCCCTGGTGAAAGAACGAGAGCGGGTGAGCAACTCCGAAAACCCCTGTGAAGCGGGGCTCGCCCCTGCTGTGAAGAGGGCTGCACGCTGTGTGGAGAAGAAAGAAGGAGAGAGGGGGGAGAGAGGGAAATAAGCTTGAGTTATCGAAGATCTTTGCTTGCCACCAGGTCCCCTGGCTAGGTGGCAGAAACTAACTAGGAGGAGGAGGAGGAGGGGGAGGGCTGGCTTTATATGCCGAGGCTTCAGGTCAGGAAGGGTATTGGTGAGCGACCTTAAAGCTCCACTGAGCGGGAACGAGCAGGGGCAGCGTGAGAGCATATAAGCGGGTTTGCTTCTACTGGTCCTTTCAGCAGGCCATCCCAGCATCGAGCTCAAGCCGGGAGGAGCTGGATATAGTCTGAACGGCAGCAGCCCTAGGGACCAGCCTGCTGTTCTTCATCGCGTGTTCTGTCGTGCTCTGTTGCTGGCTGAATTTGGTTTCGATGGCAGGCTCCAATCGCGAGGAATACCTGCGCCGTGTTGCGGAGGCAAACCTCGGGTCTCTGAGCTTGTTGGGGAGACGGTCTCTGATCCGGGTCATCTCGCATTCCTGGGAGGTGGCACTGGTCGAGGCTGTCGCGCCTCAGATCAACGCCTTCCGAACAGTGGAGCTGTCTTGATTATGACTCACCTCGCATGGCTGCTTTTCGAGGGTGTCGTTTTGTGTTTGGTCTGGCGCTGCCTTCCTCTCATACTGGGTTTGTCCGTTCCAAGTGACCCCTTCAAGCGACTGGGGAGTAAAGTAAAGCTCGGCGATGGTGTGCCGTCGCCGGAGCAGACGACGCAAGGAAATGAATGGTGCAGTCTCGTCTGCATAATCATTAGCGCCTGTGCCATTTCATGCGCATGTTCCCTGAAACGTCTAAGAGCTTGCTGGCAAACTGAAAAGCCACCTGGTCGGGTGGAAAGACTGTGCCAGGCGTTCAAGGAGTTGTTGCCCCTGGAAACCTGCCGCATCTGGTCCGAGCAGGCTGGTGCTTCTGATCCGTTTTAGGCGTCCCAGTGATACGACTGCCAGGAACTCTCCTTCATCATCGTCGGCTCCTCTGTTCAGGACGATGCCTTCTGGTGCCTAGACCATCTTGCAGCGAACATCAAGGCCGTTTTGGGCCTTAACGGCATTCCCGAAAGGGTAGCTTTGGGCACGCGCCTTGCGGGGCCAGGCACATCACGGCTACACAACCGACTCAAGGCAGGCTGCATGGCACTAAAAGCCCGGATCTCGCGGCAGCCGGGATGTGCTCAGCTGGCACAGGTGCTTTAAAGACTTGATGAACTTCCTTTCCGAGTTGTCAGCTGAAAACAGGCTGGCTGTAGCTTTTTTTTGGGGGTGTAAGAGTATTTGATGTGGAAGCTGCCAACATGGAGCAGCTGGCCCTGAGGCGAAACTTCCTGATGTTTGCAACTGGTGGAAGCCCTGGTGTGCTTTTACCGGCCAAAGACGGAGCGAGGAGGCGTGTGCTAAGGTGCACCCACACTGCCCATCGGCGGCTTCAGCGGCCTCAAGCCGCCCTTGACTGTTGTCAAAAAGGACCACTGTTGCGAGGGTTCTGCATGGAAGTAGAACGCTGGACACCCGTTCTGTCTGGGCCTGGTGTATTGAGGAAGCCCCGTCTGCTCCACTCACGTGCCTGTGGCGCTCTTGCTGTTGCCAGCTTTCAAGACATCCTCGAGCGGAGAATGAACATCAGCATGCCAGGGCAGACGACTTCATGCCCTCGGTCATGACGTGTGCAAACTACCTGAAGCTGCCTGAGTGCCCTGCCTGAGAGCTGAGTACTTGTGGCCGCATGCATCTTGCCGGTGGCGCCGCCGAGAATTGAGAGGTACAGCTCAGCTGAGATGCTGAAGCAGAAGCTACAGCTTGCCATGCGGGAGGGGTACCTGACCTAGCTTGCTCGACAGAGCTTCGGCTGTGCGTTGTGACTCTGTGTGCCGCCTTCAGGCAGTGTGCCTTCCTGCTCTCCTAGAAGGTCGAAGAAGTTGTTACCCGAGTACGAATGCTTGGGCTTGGGCAGCCTTTCTCTCTCGGGATCATTTAGTGCTGAATGGACCAGTTGTCGTGTTCTGCCGACACCAAGGTGAATCGAAGATACGTGAATTTCGCTGCACTGGAATTTGCACTGGCGACGTTTAGCTTAGGCTTAGACAGGGCCCTCCTCTGCTGGCCCTAGGCCCTAGATCCTAGAAGTCCGACGTTTAGAGGACAACCTCCGAAAGCCAAGACGGGCAGAAGGCTCGCTTTCGAAATTGCGGGGCTCACGAGCAGGAAGGACTAGCACACAGGTCCGCCACTTTACGTGTTGAGTCTTTTCAATCGCGGAAGCCAAGCACGCTGTCCTGAAGCTCAGACCCCGCATCTGCAGGCGAGTTGAGAAGCCAAGGTCGGACCGACAAAAGGAAGCTTGCTTGATGCAGCGGGAACTGAGCAGCAGAGGGAATCCCAGCGCCCTGTGGCAGTGCATGTTGTTGTGTATGCCGTCAGCTTTTTGCAACTTGCAGAATTGGTGACTGGACGTCGGCTTTCCTTGCCATTGCAGTGTCAGCGCCATGGTTCATGATGCCACACGACACCGACGCCCGCAAAACACTGCAACATGTCACATCGCATACGGCTGCCCAGGCAAAGGCCACGCAGTGGATGTGTGCACTCCTCCTGTCAAAGGCCGAAATCGACGGTGCCCTCGAGCCCGACTTGATGCTGGTCAGTTCGCGGTTGAGTGCTCTGGAAAAGGGTTCAGCATGGCGAACTGCTGCTCAAACATTCGGAATCCTTCAAGCCGAGACTGGGCTGCGGCCAGGAGTTTTTGCGCTCAACTCCGTATTGAGTGCCTTCGCGAATACAGCTGCATGGACTCGCTCTCTTGGCCTCGTGGCCAAGTGGCGAGATCTCGCGGATTTCGTCAGTTGCAACGCAGTCCTGACTGCATTGAGCAGGTGCTCGCGATGGGCAGTCCTGAGCAGGGAGAGCTGGCAGCATCACCATCTGGGAGCTTTGCAAACCTCCCTGGACGGCTTGCTTCGCTGCAACAACGTGGCTGCAGCAGCATATAGCAAAGGAGGCCGCTGGGAGACGACACTATTCATCATCTCCACACTGGGCAGGCAGGCTGTCAGGGCCGATGCCGTCTCTTTGAGGACGGCCGTCAATGCGTTTGAGAGAGGCATGTGTTGGAGCCGGGCAGTCAGTGCAATACGGTCCAAGAGGATCGGAGTGGCAGGAATCAACTCTGCGATCTCAGCATGCAGCAATGCACAGGCATGGGTACAGTCACTGCAGCTAACAAACGAGATCTGGCATTGCAACCTGCGCCCTACACTAGTGTCGTGGGCCGCAGTGGCTGGAGCTTGCCGTGGACTCTGGGCTACCTGCTGCGGCCTGTTGCGGCAGGCCGCGGGAGCTTCTGACGTGTCGGTGGGAACGGCATCTGAGGCATGTTCCGCTGGTGGAAAGTGGAGGATGGCACTGGCACTGCTCGTGGAGAGCCGGATCCTGACGCTGGAGTTAGATGCGCTGACGTGGGATGGCCTGCTGTCGGCTTTGTCTGCTCGTGGGCTCTGGGGTCAGGCGCTTGCTGTGCTGCAGCCGGGGCTGAGCCCAGTGGCCTTTGAGGCGCTCGCGAAAGGCCTGGGCCCGGGCCCTGGCCTTAAAGCGTTGCCACTGGCTTTGTCCCTCGCCCGAGCTGCGGGCCTCGCCGGCCTGGCGCGACGAGCGCGATGATGCCGGTCCCTTCCACTTCCAGGCCTCCCCTGCGTTGCCCATCCCATGGCTTAGCCTTCCGTCAGTTCTCTCCTGCGATACACGGCTCGAGATCTGAGAGATGCTTCGTGCAGACATGCTGATATGCACCGTTCAATGGTTTCTGCAGAGGCGCTTGGCAAATGCTCTAGGTGAGAGGCATAGCGAATGTACTGCTCTGATGACATTGCCTCTACATGGCTCTTGCTGCTTCTAGCCATGGGTGCAGCAGCGTCTGCGGCGTCTGCGGCGCGGAACTTTGTGGCCGCTTGGACGACCACAATCCCAGAGCTCAAGCTTTGAGTTCGCCCATTCCGGATTGTTCCGGTGAGATTGTTTCAAAGCCGTTGATTGAGAAGCCGAGCCTTCAATGCTTCCTGCCCAATTCTGCCTTCGCACGACCTCCTCGGTTAGTTGTAGACTGCTCTAACCCCAAAAAGCCGATGTGGCAGCTAAGTCGCCGGGCATCGAAGGCACGTGCCGTGCTGTTTTGTGGACAAGCATTGTCTAGGTAGATTGTCTGAGAGTTTGAATTTTGGGTATAGCTGACACTGCAAGCAACTCGCCTGAAGACTGCTCGCCAGATGCCGATGGACTGGACGTTGGCCAGTTGGATGACCATTGGAAGAACTACGCCCACCGGCGAATCCATGGCGAGCACCTTGTTGCAACGATTCAGATCAGATCTGACAACTTCTGTTTTCCACTGAAGATCTGACTGAGATCTGAGTCACTGAGGCTTCCAGCCCGTCCAAAAAGATCCAAACCGAAGGTGGACATCCACATGTGCTTGGAAGCGGCCACACTGCTGAAGCAGAGCATGAGATTGTCACGGAACCCGACACACTGCGCCATAGCCCCCAGAGCCCTCCTGAACCGCAAGATTTGCGAGGCTTCCTCATCCAGCTGGTTTGTGAGGGATGACATGCCGACCCAGTACTACCTCAGCGTCTCGGACTGTCACGAAAGCTAGCTATTTTGCAGCTTGCAGAGCTGGTTTTGGACGAGAAGAGAGTGTAAGGGGCAGTTGCTCCTGACCTTTCAGAAATTTAAGCGTCAGCAGGGGGTCCTAGAAGCACAAGCATCGACGAGTCTGCGGGAGAGTACACAGACGTTTCAGAGTTGCTTCTTGCATTGCGGAACGAGCTGTGTCACGGGTCAGCACAGTCTTAGGTTGTGACAAGGCATGGCATTCGAACTCAACTCTCTGTCAACAATTGATTGGATAGCCACTTACCAGTTCCCAACACAGCATGCAAGGAGCACTGCTGCCCCCTCTGTCCCTCGTCCTCTGCTCTCAAGTCGCTTTCATTCCGATAAACCGATGAACCCTAAGCCCTGAATTCCCTGCATCACAGGTGCCTACCCACCGGAGGATCCGCGCCCGGAATTGCTGCGGAAAACGCCTCTCAGCCCTCCTTGCACCCCAAAGTTCATTCTGCCGCCGGAAGACGTGCCTGAGATGTTCCTTGGCAGCAGATCAAGTCCACCAAAACAGGCGGCTTAGCATCCCCCCAAGTGTTCACATGTTTTGGACCTGGTTCTGAAGGCTGCAGCCTACTCGGCATGTGCGACCAGTACAACACATGCGTTGTGAGATATTGCCAGCTGCAGAAGCATGTGTGCAAGGATTGTGATCATACCTATCTGCTTCGCTAGTACCAAGCTGTTTGATCTTGTGTTTTTGTGTGATGGCTGCAGGTTGAAGTTGTAGGTTCGCAGTCTCAGCTCCCGTTTCCTGCCCGCATCACTCTTTACACATGATCAGATTTTCAGTGGAATGCTGCCGATCTACATGAGCGGCCGTCAAATATGGAAGAGCAGAGTTAGTCTACTGCGGATATGAGATAAACATAAATCGAGGTTTGATCTGCAGAACGATAGGGATCCACCAAAAACTATAACGTGCGTGTGCATGTGAGCGACTCCGACTGGCGTTTCTCTCGGAAGAGCCAGATTGTCTCTGAGTACTACAGGTGTACTACAAGCGAGCACAATCCAGCCAGGAGCCGGAACGAGGCATTTCCAATACGAAAGCTGTCCTACAAGCGAGCACAAGCCAGCCAGGAGCACCCCCGAGCATCGCGACATGGGTTTTGATTTGCAGAACGATAGGGGATCCACAAAAAACGATAACCCCAAAGTCAATGTCCCCTTGACAAGCCGGTAATTTTGACCGTGGCTCACATGAATCACGGGTTTGGTTTTAAGAACGGCCGGCAGCGGGAGCAGGGAGTCGTTTGAATCTGTCCCAGGGGTCGCGTACACAGTTCTGTGCCATCCAGGAAGTTATACATTGCCGAGAAAGGGCTGAAGGACTTCTTTCACCACGGCGTCCACGCGGCGTGGTTCCGTGCCCAGAGGATGTTTCGCATCGTGTGTGTTTGTGTGGGCGCGTCATGCTACAACGGTGGATCGTCGCAGCTCCGAAGAGTGTTGGGTCTTGCGTTGTGACATCCGCTCAGGATGTTGGATTTGCCTGAGCGTCCATCGACAACCTCTTCGTGGGTGTCGCATGAGGAGGCTGCTGCAATGAGAACGAACAAGCGATTGAAGGAGTCCCGTTTCACACTCCCTGGACAAATCGACGATGTGCTATCTTAGCCGATGCATTTCCGAGAATGCAGGATCCGTTGGCACCTGCTGTCAGTTTAGACTTAATCCTCGTGTCCATTCCCTCTGGGAACAGCTGACCGCCAAAGGTGGTGAAGTACTGGGCAGCTTTGCTTGAAGACGCGTAGAACTCTTGCTGGCTGGGCTAGCAGGAGCACCGATGGCAGAGGCCGTCCTGGTGCAAATGGCAAACCTCAGCTTTCGGGCAAAAGGTGATGTGAGCATCTGCTTCGCGGCCAAGGTGTTCAAGGGCGATCGAAGTATGATCTGACCGTGGGTCATGCAGAAGCTACAGGGTTCGCCTTCTGGTTCTGCTGGTCTTGTTTGCTTTCGTTCGTGAATGGAAGGTTGTGAGCTATCCCGTGCAGCACGGCGACACTTTGGATGATGCAATGCAGGAGCAGGCAGACGCACCATGCAGTCGCAGTTGGAACCCTGATTGCCACTGATTCTGCTGAGGGCTCAGCTCCTTCGGCTTCCGGTCCGTTCCCACATCCAGGTGCGAATCTTTTTCCATTGTTTTTCATGGTGTCATTTTCCAATAACCCTTCAACAGCCCTGATAGCTGAATCCTGCTCCTCGAAGACAACCACCCTGAACCCAAAACCCTGCTCCATCAAAGTAGTCCCAGCTGATCGGTATATTGGCCTGAAGGTGCACAAGCACTTTGGCATGTCCATGAAACGAATCAGTTGCAATGTCCAGCTCCAGGCCGAAGGAAGCTCTTTAGCACAGCTCTCCTTGCTGGCAAGTGACATCAAAGAAGGGGCCAGATGGCGTTGCTGGATCAAGGCTGATGGCGGGCATCCGATCAGTGCATTGGACGCGCCAGTGCCCACGATCTTTTTAGCCTCGCCGATTGGATCCAGCTCTAGGCTTCAGACGCCTTCCTGGGTTAGTGGTGGTTCTACGAAGGATCAAGGAGGATCGAGAAAAGGAGGCCTCCAGACGTGCCAAACCCTGAGCTGCCATGCCAAAATATCTTCGAACAGCCAGCAGTTGGGATAAATAGATCTGATGGTAAAGGAGGTCCTGGCCCACAAGTCTGCAAGCGGAATCGGCATGTCTCGAGTCGGCTCGAGCAGTTGGTAGAGCTGGGGGTGGAAGCCGATCCTGTAGGGATGTCCTTTGCATCGCAGGCGCGCGCTTGGACGGCTGTTGCAAAGCCTGTGCACACCACCAACCTGTAACTAGCCCTGTGATTGCGGCCGGACGGCTGTGCAGATTGTTGTGGACTGCCGTGGGCATTTGCTGGGTCGTGATGCGCCCAGAGTCATGAGAATTTTCGTAGCGTCGTAGCATTCAACGACAGAGGCTGCGCTGGCCACCAGACCCGGAAAGTCTTATCCTGAGGCCTGGCATCTGTTCTGGCGAAGGAGCTGCTGAATGGACAGCCGGGCCCCAACGTTGGCACTGTGCATTGACGCATGATGACGCATGCACCAGAGACACCAGTGCCGGCATTGTACAAGAGTCTGGAGGCACGTCGTGTGCGTCCGTTCCGAAGACATCAACATCTCTGGCTCCCTGTATCGCAACAAGCTGAAGTACGCGGCCTTCAAGAGGAAGCACATGCTCCTTGACTCCTTGGTCTTAGACACCTAAGTGGAAGCAGCCTAGAAAAGAGCACCGAGGAACTCCAACCCTCGACAGGGGCCTTTCCATTACCGAGCACCCTCCAAGATCCTTTGGCGCACCATCCGTGGAATGGAGCCTTGGACGGAAGTTGACGAGTCTGCAACGAGCCTCTTTGAGGCCACGGACCAAGCTCAGGTTCCCCACAAGACCGCCCGTGGCGCAGCCGCCCTGGACAGGTCTCGGACAGGGAGCTTTCATCAGATCATGATCGGCTGCTTGCATCTCTCCCAGACTCCTGAAAGGCTGAAGACCTTCGAGGGCATCCCTCACCCCTACGATCGCAAGAAGCGACCCTTGTCTCAAGTCGGCTCTCCGACGCGTCTGCAGCTTTGTGTGTGGGCATGAAAGCATCCTTGCAGTCTCCGCTCTCCCAGGAATGGTGGCAGACGCCTCAGTCGACCGTGATACCGCCTCCTAAGAGATGTGCCAGAGCTGGTGTCGTCTGGCGCTCTTTTCTGTCCTGGTGCTGGTCGCATAAGGTCCCCAGCTGCCTGAAAGTCCTCCGCCTGCGCCCCGAGCGACGCTTCTGCCGCCTCGGCGACCTCTCCAAGGAGGC